GAATTAGGGAAGGAGAAAAAAACCCACCTTTAACTGCTTCACGCTGAACTTTATATATTCTCCTCCTCTGCTCACATTAGGAAGGGCATGGARGTGGGAAGAAGACTTTCTGCTTATTTTGAGCAGCAAGAGGAATAGGTGTGGCAAAGTTGCAGCAACAAACCATTTAGTTAATAAAGGGTTCTGAACACACTTTAATAACAAGAGCAGTATTAAACACAACATTTTTTTCATGGTTTTGAACTGTTTTTTAAAACAACTGGGGGAAGAATTCTTGAACGCTCCCCTCTGAACCACAGGACAACACATGTGTTTAGGGGTTAAAGCAGCTGCAGGAAGTTTCTGCACTCAGTCCTTCCCCTGGATCACAGRTGAGTTTGACCAGGGGAGTTACAAGATATGCAAATCCTTTCAAGCTCTAAAGAAGTTCCTCCCTTCCAGRTGTCCATTCAGCACCCCAACATCTCCTGCCTCCTTCAGCCCCTCAAAGACCCTGACATACCTCAGCCTATTTTGACTTTTAGCATTCATTGCCTTCAAAATGTGTTACTCCAACTCCTTAAGGTTATCCTGCCATAGCTTTGAATTGTAGACACTTCCCTATTCAGTAACCAATCTGTTACTATTTTATTACGCACTTTGAACTGTGAACTGTTTATGATTTTACAGGCAAGATGTCACACCTTGGAGCCACTTCGCAACTGGGAGAGGATAAGGGGCCATTCTCCAACTGTGATAAGACTGAACATTAATCAGAAATTCAAAAGGGAGAATGTTGCTTCATATACCAATATTTTACAATCTTGATTTTGCATTCCTGTAGGCTGTGCTCTTAATGGAACGAAGGGATGAATTTTAAACAGTTTACATAAACTAACATTGTGCAAAGCAACTCACAGGTGTAGCTAATTTCTTACTTTACAGGAGCTCATTTTCCCACTATATCATTATAATTGCCTAAAAGAAAGTTTTACCATCAGAAACAAAAACCTATTCTCAACAGTAAATTAATCTGAAACAATATCAGTATTCTTCAGCCAAAAGAATATTGTGTTTATTCGCCAAGCTAAGAAAAGTTTAAAATAACAAAAAAAAAGCAGTCACTTAATGACTGTTTGGCTTGAATAAAAATGGCACTGGGTCATCACAAGGCTTCTGCTTACAGATATTTGCTCTTTTAATCTTTATTATTCCCCTGACCTGCATGCAGTTCTGCTGTCATGAGTTTTCTATAAACTTACCAGGATGTTGTGGTAAATAGCACAGTAACAAAAGACAAGAGCCACTGGCTGAGCAAGAAACCAAAACAGATTTTTTTCATATTTAGGGAAAATACTTCTGTAGAGACAGCAAGAAGTTACAAGGAAAGAATTTACACTATTTTATCAATGACAAAGTCACCTAAATTGAAATGTCAAAGTCCTTCAGAGGATTGGCCACTTCTATCAAAATCTGAATGGGAAAAGAAAAAATAGAATACTTCTGTTAAGGCAAACTTCTGAAATCTAACACAGGCTTCCAGAATTAAATAAGTTCAGCCCAACAAAAGATTTCTGAATTTCAGATAAAATTAATTGTAGTTATATCACTTAAGACACACAACATTAATACCTTAAAAATAATGCAAAAAAAAAAAAAAGTCTGCTGAAACAAACTTRATTTGCAAAATCAAACCAAAAAATTTTGGATGTGCACACCTGTGTGTCAGATTCTACAGTGGTTTTCCTTGGAGTCCTACTGTGCAACGTTTTCAATTCTTATCTGCCGAAACAATCTTCTTCCATTTGCAAAACCCTAATGAGCGTAGTCACTCAAAGTCACTGCATTACAGCTCATTAGTTGATTGTACTAAAATAGTTATAAAAATACAAGTTGCAACAAATATTAATACAAGTTTAGAAGTACTTATCATAGGTATCCTGGTAAGATAGGTGTATAAATACATGACAAAGATAGAATCCATGGCTCAAATAAAAGACAGTCTCAGATCTATAAATATAATACTTAAATAAGCACAGGATAAGTGGGCACRYRTTCTCYCCAGAKAAATGTATCCCATCTTGGAGAAATKTCAAATATATTTGGGGAGAAGCCTTCTGACATATCATGCTCAAGAGYAGATAAAATGTAAATTGTACAGATTTACCACCATCTTAACCAAAGAACTTTTGTCAGTACTACACCTGCTCTGTACTAATGCACTTTTTAAAAAAAACTACATATCATACCATTGGTCTCTCTGAGTCCAGTTCATAGAGAGCATACTTCACGTTATTCCAATAAAGTTTTACTTAAATAACTAAAACCCTTTAGCACAAGCAGAAGTCACTTCTGTCAGCACCTAAGCTTTTAAACACTAACCAATACTGTGTAACAGTGTATTTCTCACGCACCTTGTAATACATCAAACTTTTTTACCACCAGCCTATTAGCCACGCCATGATACTTCCTGAATTTTACTGGAGCACRTCCCATTCAAATCTCTCTGGACCATCCCAAAGATCCCATAAACCCGAACATGCTGCATATAGTAAATGACGCAAGGAGGGGCACTCCCAACCCTTAARCATACAAAGTAGCTCTTATTTCAGAGGCACACTGTCCCCACAGCCACGGGGACAAGCTCCGGGAGGGGCAGGACCCTCGGGCAGGTGCCGGMCCCAGCACAGGTGCGGAGCAGCCACTGACTCACTGTGACAGAGGAAAAGAGGCTCTGTCAGGCACTCACGGCATTACAGAACCAATATTTGCTTTGTACATTGCATTGGGCACAACAGCAAACACAGGGCAGCAAATGCGTACATTTAAATTTTATAAAAAAAGGCTAAAATAATAATTTATTTAATACTATTTCCTCTCCGGTCCTGCTGAAGGCTAACACTCACGGGTAATAAACTCCATTTTTTTTTTCAATTTTTTTTCAATTTTTTTTTTTTTTTGGTAGGAAATAAAATACCCGCTCCTAAAGCATTTCCTGATAGCTATCCTGCCTAGTTCCAGATCCGGGACACAGATGCCGGTGACACCGGTGGCTGAGGGGGCCGAGGGGGACACGCCCGAGGGCTCCACCGGTGCCCCAAAGCTCCGGGAGGCAAAGCCGCCTCAGCACCGGCAGCAGCGCCGCACACCGCACACCGAGCCCCGGCCGCCGCCGGCCCGCGCCCCTCCCCGC